AACGGTATTTTTTTTTCTGATTTCTTTCTCAGTTTCTTTGGTATTTATATATAGAAGGGCTACTGATGTTTGTGAGTTAATTTTTCATCCTAGTACTTTGCTGAAAGTGTTTATCAGCTGGTGGAGTTTCCTGGTGGAATTTTTCTCATTACTTATGTATACTATCATACCCTCTGAAAATAAAGATACTTTAATTTCTTCCTTTCCAATTTGAGTCCCCTCAATCTCCTTCAGTTGTCCTAATGCTCTAGTTAAGACTTCAATTACTATGTTGAATAGGGATGGAGAGAGTGGAGAACCCTGTCTTGCTCCTATTTTTAGTGGAATTGCTTTGAGTTTCTCTCATTTTACGTTGATGTTGGCTATGGGCTATCTGTAAACTGCCTTTATTATGCAGAGGGATTTCCATTGTATGCTTATTCTCTCCAGGACTTTTATCATGAAAGGCTGTTGGGTTGTTTTTCAGAAGCCCTTTCTGCATCTAATGTGATTAACATGTGTTTTCCATTTTTTTGTTTCTTTATAGATTACATATATCAATTTAGGTATGCTCGAATATCTTTGCCTTTCTGGGATGAGACCTACTCGATCATGGTGGACAATTTTTTTGACGTGTCCTTGGATTCAGTTTTCATGTATTTTATTAAGGTTATTTTTTTCAAACATATTCATATATTCATAAGAGAATTGGTCTGCAATTCTCTTCTTTGTTGAGTCTTTATGTAGTTCGGCTATCAGTGTAACTGTGACCTCATGAAATGAATTGGGCAATGCTCCTTCTGTTTTATCTTGTGGAATAATTTAAGGAGTACTGGCATTAACTTTTCTTTGAAAGTCTAGTTTAATTCTATGCTAAAACCATCTGGCCCCGCTCATTTTTTTGGTTATGAGACTTTTAATGACTGCTTCTATTTCCTTAGGTGTCATAGTTCTATTTAAATTGTTTACCTGATCTTGATTAATTTTTGTAAGTGATACATATTGAAAAAAATTATCTGTTTCTTTTAGCTTTTCAATTTTGGTAGAGTCCAGTTTTTTTTTTAGTTCTTTCTTTTTTATTGTCTGGATTTCCTTGGTGTCTGTTATTATGTCTCCATTTTCATTTCTGATTTTGTAAATTTGGATATTCTATGTCTGCATTTGGATAAGGGTTTTAATCTCATTAATTTTCTCCAAGAACCAACTCTTTGTTTCATTGATTGTATTTTTTATTTGTTTGTTTGTTTCTATTTTATTGGTTTCAGCCCTGATTTTTATAAATTCTTTGTCTTTTGGATGTTATATATTTTTTGTTCTAGAGCTTTCAGGTGGACTGTTAAATTACTAATATGAAATTTCTTTCATTTTTTTATGTAGGCATTTGGTACTATGAATTTACTTTCCTTTGAGAACCATCTTAATTGTGTCCTATAAGTATGGATTTGTTGTGTATTCATTTTCATGCAGTTGTCGAAAATAATTTGTTTCTTAATTTTTGTTTTAATCCATTTGTTATTCAGCAGAGAGTTGTTCAGTTTTCATGTGTCTTAAGGTTTTTATTGTTTCTATTTTTGTTGGTATCTGCTTTAATCCATGTGTCCCATGAGTTTGGATTTGTTGTATATTCATTTTCATTCAGTTGTTGAAGTCCTTTAATTTTCTTTCTTAACTTCTGCCTTCACCATTTGTCATTCGGTAGAGAGTCATTCAGTTTCCATGTGTCTGTAAGGCTCCTGTGGTTTCCGGTTTGTTGATATCTACTTTAATCCATGGTGTTCAGATAGGATGTATCGAGTTATTTAGATTTTCTTGTATATGTTGAGACTTTCTTTGTGTCTGAGTATGTGGTCAATTTTGTATATAGTTTCATTAGGCATCTGGTATTGGGAAGCTTGTAATTCTAGGTGTTGATATCTGGTCTTGTCTTTGTTGGGTGAATGTTTTGGTTCTTTATTTCTGTTTTTTTTTTTTCTCTAGTTCTTAGGAGAGTGTTATGGCTGAGTGTTGCCTGCTAGGAAATTATTCTGTGGTCCTGACAGGTAATGCCACTCTGCGTTCTGGGTATTGGGAGCCAACCCCCAGAATGGAAATGGGCACAAGGATGTGGCTCAGGGGATTCACAGAAGGAAGGAAAGCAGAAAGGTCTGCCAAGAACTGCTTAATTAGTCCCCTGGGAATGGGAGCAGTGAGTGAGGCCACAGCAGAAGATCTGCAGTATTGCTAGGTTTGGACTTGTAGAAACGGAGGAAATTATGAAGAGTTGCAGTTAGCCTACTTGCTGTCCCAGTCAGAATGGCCTGTGAGTTCACTGGGAGTTTCCTTAGGCCTGGGAAAAGGGAATGCAAGCAGTGAGGTTAGAGGGGAGACCCGTGGGATTTGCAGGAGATGGATGTGTTGGGGAAGGGAGGCTGCAGCAGATGTACTATTGCAGAGCTGGTTATGAGACTGGGGCATTGGACTTGGAGAAGCAGAAGGAGAGGTGAAGACTTGCAGTCAGGCTACCTGCTTCCCTGGCTACAGGGTGTTTTACCTGTTTTGAACTTTATATGAATAGAATCTTAGACTAGCCACACACCTCTGTTCCCATTTCTATGGAAAATTCAATGGCACAGACTTTAATAGCACTTTCTGTTTCTGTGTATTATGAATAGTGCTGGTATGAATATTCTTAAGTATAACTTCTAGGTGGGATATAAAGATACATACCTTAGACCGTAGGAGACATGGGTAGACATTTTTCCTAATGTGATCTTGACAAGTGTCCTCCTACTGGAACATGGGACTTCCAGTTACTCCTCATCACCATGGTTACAAGTATTTTGTATTTTTTTGCCACTGTCCTGCATGTGTTCTGAATACAATGTGCTTTCATTCTGTATGTCTCAGGAATAATGTTGTTGAATACATATATTTGTCACTGATTTGATTGAAATATTTTCATGCATATGACAGTAACACAGGTAGTATGGAAATAAAACAGTAATCATAATCAGTGATAATTAATTGACTAAAATTCATTATACAGCTTTCATTAATGAAACTGTATTAATAGGACACATTCCTCTTTAAGGTTTTTGTTCTAGTATATTTAATTCAGTAGAAACTTACTGAAGGCAAGTTATGAATAAGACCTTTAGCTGAATGTCAGAAAGCTGCCCCGGCCCATGTCTTCAGAGGCCACCGTTAAGGTAGACAGTTGGCCAGTGCTGAGCAGGCTCTGACACTGGGGCATTAGGTAGAAGCTGGCTCTGGAAATCCTAAACATACAGTGAACGCATGATTTTTGGGAAATTACAAGTTTTTAGGTGTGATAATCAAACAATGAGGACGATTGCCACACTTGCTATAGGGAACTAAGTACTTTTTAAAATGGCACATCCACTTCCTGAAATACCAGGGGCTAATTGTAAATTAAGCTTAAGGCCTAATAATATTAATTGCATAGCCTAAAATGTTTGAATGTTTGAATTTAACTCATCATTTGCCAGAAATTTTTTTCAACCCCAAAATCTACAGAAGTGCAAAAAATCATTTTGTGGATCACAGTTGACTTTTCCCATTGAGCCTCATCTCCTCTTGAAAATGTAGGAGTGGGGCAAAGCCCTTATTGTTACTGGGGACATGGGAAGAGATGGTGCGAATGCTATAAGCTTTATTACTGACATAATGTTAGAAGTTGGAGTTGAGGAGATGGGGTAGTGGAGAATGCCCTTGCCTTGAAGGTATGGGAACCAGGGCATAGATTTCAAAACCTTCATAAAATCCAGCTGAGGGATGGATACTCACCTTCAATTCCAAAACATGAAAGGCAAGAATGGGGGACCTCTGGGACAAGCTGGAAGATGAGACCAGCTGAGTCTCTGTGCTCTTTGTTCAGCAAGACATCCTGTCTCAGGAATTGAGTGGGAGCGCAATCGAGGAAGACATTGATGTCAGCGTATCTTACAGTTGCACATTCGTGCATCTGCCCCAGCACACATACTGTGTGTGTGTGTACATGCACGCACACACACACACACACACACCAGACACATGAGAAAGAGAAAGAAAAAGTATTAATATATTAGTTAAAAGTATGAGCATATCCAGAACATATCCTTCTATTTTGCTGAATTGGAGTTACTTATTTTAACTAAATTTTAATGGAGTACTCCTTTTAGAAGTAAATTCAATGATCAAAAGCATGTCTGGCTGCTTAGTCCAATCTGACCTTAAGCTCAGGGTCTCCCTGACGTAGCTTCTAACGTTCTGTGTGTGAGTGTGTCCACCAATGCTGGGTCAAATGCATCTCTTTCATGTGACCACCATCTGCTCTTTGCTATCACTAAAATGATAAAAATTCTTCGTCACATTATGCGTTGATATATCTTAATGAATCTTTCAAAATGATTAGACAGATTTTTTTATTGGCTTTAAACCTCTTCTTAAAATTTATTTATTTAAAAAATTATTTATTTTAAGTATATGAATGCTCTAACTTCATGTACACCTACATGCCAGAAGAGGGCATCAGATCTTAATATAGATGGTTGTGAGCCACCATGTGTTTGTTGGGAATTGAACTCAGGACCTTTGGAAGAGCAGCCAAGTGCTCTTAACCACTGAGCCAGCTTGGCTTAAAGCCTCTTTAACTATATTATCTTAAAATGTTGGAGGGAAAAAATGTTAGAGAGAAATTTTCTACCTTCTAAATATAGTAGGTTCTAATTAAAGACCAAATATAATTCTAGTGCTAAAAATAGAGTCATTATAGATGGTTGTGAGCCACCATGTGGTTGCTAGGAATTGAACTCAGTGGTGCCCTCTTCTAGCGTTCAGGGGAACATGCAGGCAAAACATTATAGACATAAAAAATAAATAAATAAATCTTAAAAAATAAGAATAAAAAGAGAAGCCCACAGGGGAATAAACGAATGGAAGGATAGTGACAGTTCTTGGGGAAAAGGGTCATGGCGAAGATAAACATGCAACTAGTGTCTCTGCAGTCAGTAGTCACACTGTGTGGTGTTCTTCGTCTGTAGGTTGAAGAAAAAGTCCCAGTCAGTGGATATTACTGCTCCAGGATTCAACCCTTTGGGTGGTGCAGGAAAGCAAGCACCACAGGCCAGCAAGCCCCCGGCACCCAAGACTCCCATCATCGAAGAAGAACAGAACAACTCAGCAAACACTCAGAAGCATCCTTCCAGGAAGAGTGAACTCAAGAGGTTCTACACCATTGGTGAGTGCCAGGGGCTTTATAAGTGAACCAGTACCACTTGGACAGCTTTGCAAGTGCAGGATCTGCTTGGTTAAATGATTCTTTGTTGCATAAGTGTGTGTCTTTATGATGGCTTTTGTGGACATTTTCTTACGTGGTCAAACAGGGACATGGAAGATGGAAAACTACTGACACCTTAACAAAGTTATGTTGAAAAAAAAATGGGCTCAGTGGCCATCTATATCTGAACGCAGGAGAAATGTCTTCAATTTTTTACCTCGTGTGTTACTATTTTCATTTTAGCTATCCTCAGCCCACACTGTTCTTATATTTTGCTTTTGTTCTTTTCATTTTCCCTCTGGGCTTCTAAGTCTCTGACCCTGTTCTGTCAGGTTGTAAAAACAGTGGCTGACATCAGCCTCTGGTGGAGCCATTAAGAAGGGAGAACGTTATTGTATTCTGAGGAACAACAAGTTATTGGAGCACTGTTTGGGTTCCTCACAATGCCAAGGTTGGGGAGATGAAGTTGAGAAGTAATCATATCAGAAAGTGGTAGGCTGTGAACAAGGTCTTGTAGTTGTGCTCTTATGTCCCCAGACAGAATCGTTACAGTAATTTTTTTTAAATCTTTTATTTTTTTTATTAATTACACTTTATTCATTTTGTATCCCCCCATAAGCCCCTCCCTCCTCCCCTGCCGATCCCACCCTCCCTCCCCTTTCTGCATGCATGCCACTCCCCAAGTCCACTGATAGGGGAGGTCCTCCTCTCCTTCTTTCTGATCTTAGTCGTTACAGTAATTTTGAACTTTGTTGTAGAGTGTTACATAACAGGACTAAGTAAGTTGAGCTGAAAAGTCTGTGTACCTACGTTCCCAGCAGGTCTTTGAATAAATTATTTTCAACAATAACAGTTTCCAATATTTCAGGTAAATATGAGACAAAGGGTTTTGTACTTGGCTACATAGCAGGTAGCCTGGGGGTGGAAGAGGAGGATGGCTTCTTGGTCCTGATGCTCCTCTGTTTGCAGCAACTAGGTCATGCTTGAGTCTCTGTAGTGGTGAATCGGACATTGGTTAATCAAAATGCTATCAAGGAAGTTGAATATTTCTGGCACCTACAACCCCCCATCCTCCATATGGGGTGTTTGCCTGAAGATTACAATCTTTTTGTCAGGTATTTTAGACTGTATATCTCTATACATTGTAGCCAGGAAAGTAGGTTTCTAGTTCTGAAATCCAGAGCATGTTCTGGTTGCTTTTAAGGCATGGCTTTCTTCAAGCTTGACAAAATGCCTCCTGGAGGATGGGTGCTGTTTCAGAATTCGCCAGTTGAGAATGCTTTCCCTTGCTTCCACTGCAAGTTTTCGTCCTCAGTCTTTTCCTCTGTTCTGATTAATGTTTTCTTTTTTAAAATATTTTTTATTTTTAAAAAATTTTATACATTCACTTGTATCCCAGCTGTAGCCCTCTCCCTCTTTCCTTCCAGTCCTCCCCTCCCTCCATCATCTCCTCCCTGCCCCCTTCCGAGTCCACTGAGAGGGGATGTCCTCCTCTCCTTCCATCTGGTCCTAGCTTATCAGGTATCTTCAGGATGGTTGCAATGTCCTTATCTGTGGCCTAGCAAGGCTGCTCTTCCCTCAGGGAAGAGGGAAAGCTCATGAGTTCATGTCAGAAAGAATTCCTGTCCCCCTTACCAGGGAACCCACTTGGATACTGAGCTACCATGGGCTATGTCTGAGCAGGGGTTGTAGGTTATATCCATGTATGGTCCTTGGTTGGATAAACAGTCTCACAGAAGCCCCCTGTGCTCAGATATATTTGGACCTTGTGGGGCTCCCTGTCCTCTCTAGGATATATTAATTCCTCCTTCCTTCATATGATTCCCTACACTCTGCCGAAGATTTGGTTATGGGTCTCAGCATCTGCTTTGATACACTGCTAGGAATAGTCTTTCAGGGGCCTGATTAATGTTTTCAAGGCTTGTTTTTTAACAGGTAGGAAGCCTGGTGTTCTTTGGGGTATCTATCATCAGATACTGTTGATTGATCGAAGAAAGTGCAGCCAACAGCTGCATATTTCCACTTTCAAAACTTACGTTAGCGTAGTTCAAAAGATGAATCAAGCAGAAAGTCCAGTAAGGCTTTTGTCACTGCCTGTTTGCCAGGATCCCTACTCCTGACTTTTGTCACAGATGCAACCGTATATATTTCTCATTTATGAACTGATTATGAAGAGTGAGTGTTTTGCCTTCAGGTAATAAAATTTATCTTATAAATGTAATATTCCTTCTAAGTAAGACAACAAGGGAGAGAGTTATTTGCTTATTTTTTGTGTGCCTTCGTGTGTATGCATGTCTGTATTAGGTACTCTTACCTGTGTGAGTACAAGCTTGTGCATGTGTACTGGGTGTCCTTAACTATGTGTGTACATGGAAATCCAGACGTTGACTTCAAGTGTCTTCCTTTTTTGTTCTTTATCTCTCACCAAGACTGGCAATGCTCTAGGATCTGCTATGTCTACCCCATTAAGGGAGTGCTACAGACATGCGCCACACACCTGGTTTTTGTGTAGGTGTTGAGTATCTGAACCTTGGTGCTTGCACTGCAAACACTTCCTCCCCCAAGCTATCTTCCCAGCCTCATGGCAAATTTTTAATTAATGAATTTGCAACAGTTTGATTTATTATCAGTATCAATGACACACATAAATGCTGTGTTGAACTAGTTGAATTTGAATTCTCAAGTTTGTGTATATATAACCTCTCTTCTAATTTGGCCCCCAAAACATTATTTTTAAGTTAAAATATATAAAGTATGTAACTGAAAGTTCATTTCATAAAACAAATATATTTCAGTATCCTTTCATGAAAGTACTTTTAACATAAAACAACAGCATTTTAAAGTTTTCATGTGTATTATAATTCTCTTGAGCAAAACAGAAAGAATATATATTTAAAGAGGATTTATTAGAGTGGCGTACAGGCTATGGTCCAACTGTTCCAACAATGGCTGTCTCCTGTTGGAAAGTCCAAGAATCCAGTGGTTGGCTGTTCAGTCCACAAGGCTGGGTGGAGTCTCAGCTGGTCTTCAGTGTACTCCTGAATTCTGAAGAAGTAGGCTCTGATGCCAGGGGAGGAGTGAGGGCTGGTGTGAGTGAGGACAAGCAGGCAAATAGCAAATATTAGCTAGGCTGCCACCAGGAGGTGTGGCCCAGATTTAAAGTGGATTATGTAGCTCATAAGATTAGGACTTAGGATGGGTCTTCCCATCTCGAAAGATCAAATGAAGAGACATGGCCCACAGGTGGACCATCCACTTGGGCTTTGGTTAACTGTAGATGTATTGGGGTGACAACCGTGACAAGGCTTCACAGTATGTATTAGTACTTTCACATTCCAGAAGATAAGTGCCCATATCCTGTCTCATGTAATCCCCACAAACACTGTTATGCTCTGTCCTTACAGGTGAGGAATCATGTCTAAAAGAAGCAAAGGAAGGGGCCATAGATGATAGGCTCGGCAAACAAAATTCACTTGATATGTTAGCACTTAAGAGAAACCCCAGCTCAGGTATAGTCCATAGACTCAGTATCCAAGTGGGCTCCCTAGTAAGGGGGGCTTCCTCTGGCATGAACTCTGATCACCTCATCCTGGGGGATGCAGCCTTACCAGGCCACAGAAGAAAACAATACAGCCAGTCCTCATGAGACCTGAGAGGCTAGGGTCAGAGGGCAGGGGAGGAGGACCTCCCCTATCAGTGGACTAGGGGAAGGCATGGGAGGAGATGAGGGAGGGAGGGTGAGATTGGGAGGAGACGTTGGAGGATTGGATTATGAGGAGACAAGGGAAGGGGCCATAGCCAGATACAAATTGAATAAATTGTAATAAATGATAATAAAATTAAAAAAATAAATTTAGAGATTTAAGGGGAAAAAAGTCAACTTTGTAACTGAACAGGACTGCTGAGTTGACCAGAGATATTTCAGTGGATGACAGAGCAGTGACATCCTAGGAGGTGTCCTGAATAAGCTCACGGAAAGAAAATATCCCACTCAACCCCGTCTCCAGCCAATCTGCCCTTTCTTTGAAAGGTGTCTTTCAGCATCTCAATTCAGTTTGCACAACTGAAAAACCCAGGGAGCCCTCTGGTGGCACAGTGCAGTACTACAACAGAGTTGATCTATGCCACTCCACAGACTATCACTGCGTTTGAGTCAAGCTAGAAGAACTTTCGATTTTAACAAGAGCTAGAACAATTTGAAGTGCCTCTTTAGGTTAACCGGAAGTGTAAATAGCTTCTCTAGAAACTGATTTTTGTCCTCAGTTATCTTTTTCAATCTTCTGTAGAGTACCTATGTCCTACTGAGAGAACCTCAAGAAATGTTCTCTTTGTACACATGCCTGCCTTATGTCCTAATTAATCCTAATAAAAGACGTTTATTAAACATAACATTGTATAAAAATTGCAACCACGTAAGCTCACTTTTTATGGAATAACCATTCTTTGAATAGGTATAATTGAATTTCACATATTTAGAATAAGTAGGGGGAAAGCCACCCTCTGTCTCTATGAAACACCTGCATCTTCATGTGAACTTTTAAGAAGTTAAAAGAAGTCACCAGATCAGTAGTGTGTCTCAGGCCAGAGCTTTTTCTGTCGACCTTTCTTACAAAGGGGACTAGATTTGGCCCTGACTTTTTCAGCTGAGCAGTGGAAGAGTTGGAGGAAATGAGTGTGTCTGCGCATTTTCAGCTGGTGGTGGAGGGGCCGGCATGTGGCCCCGCCGGGATTTTGTTCAGGGTGTCAGAAGGCTGAAGTAAGCACCCAGGCTAGGCAGGGCCCTCGCATGGTTTGGATTAGGAAAAGATGTGCCTTGGAGCTCCTTCCTGTTGGGATTCAAGTCCTCGCTGCTGTAGAACTCTGCTCCTGCCCTCCTTGCTGGTTGCTTGGCAAGGTCCACCCTTGGCTCCAGAGGCCGCTTGCCTTACTCTGACATGTCTGACAAATTTTACTCACCTTTA